ATGATAGTTCATTAAAAAATGAGAAGCTGAGATGGCGTGCACAAATTAACCCTTCACAGCAATAATCAGGCTGCAGGAAGTTGAGAGATGTGGGTTTTCCCTCCATATCTCCAAACCTTGTTTCCCCCTCATTTCTTTACTGATAATTGATCGAGGGAGCCTCTTTCCTTGGTTAAGGGACAGACCGTCATTACTGTCTTATTGCAGGTGAAAGTTATCAGTGAGAGTGGAGGTTGGAATAGCCTTCAGTAACAAAAAAAGTAAATTTCAATTCGTTGTGAGACCAGATATGTAGCTTTTGGTACCTAATTGTAATTTTTAGAGTCATACATCCAGCGCAGAGGATGCTGTTTTGTAACCTGCAGCCCGGCAACAAGCATTATACTCCAAAAGATACAAATTCTGTATGTGCTAGTTTTTCTTAGTTAAAATTAGGCACAAGTGGGTGGCTGTTCCTTAGAAACATCTGTTTGTAACCTGAAGTGTAAAGCTTTTGTGTCCTTCACAGGCATTTATTTTTAGTTTTTTTTTTCAATTTCTGTTCAGGGTTTTTTTTTAGCAGATGGAGGTTATGAGTCCTGTTGTGTTGAGAAAGAAGGGAAGCTGCAGAGGTCAGAGATCTCACAAAATATCAGCATCTTCAATAATCCCTTACCTTTTAATATTTAGCATTATTTGTCTTTATTATTTAAAATTATTTAGTTTTCTACAAAGAAATTAAATATTTATACTTTGATTTAAATAAGTGTGTGTGTGTGTGTGTGTGTGTGTGTGTGTGTGTGTGTGTGTGTGTGTGTGTGTGTGTGTGAGATGAAAACTAATTAGTTATCCTTACAAATCCAGAATAGCAGGTCACATAATGAAATTATTGCTTCATTGGTTTGATGCATTAATCTAAAATTGACTTTGATTGTAAAGTCCACTAACTGGCAGCATTGTTGAATTTCACTAAACACCCTGATACAAACAGTTTCTTGCTCATATGTTTATGTTGCACAGTTGTACTGTTTGACCGCACTGAGAATGATTTGGAAAAATGGAAAAAAGTGATCAGTTGGAGGCATTGTAGGACGGCGGTGGTGCTGTGGTTTTTCCTCAGGACGAGAGCTGTTAATGTCCCAAAAATATTGATCAAACTGTGTTGGGCCACTTTTAAATTATTCTTGGATGAAGTGGTAATCCTCTTCTCAAACACACAGTCATTGTGTTAACCTATGTGGCACAGACTTGAACAGACGTGTATGGACAGTAGATGTCTGTTTTCTGTTTTATTTGAACTCATCATATAGCCTAACTAACTAACTAACTAAAAAACTAAATTAAGCTGTTTAAGCTGCAGAGCTCTGCTTTACACATGTCACATACAGTATAGTCATGTTTTTTAAATTTCTTTCTTTTTGCTACAATTCTGCATTTTATGCATAACCCCTTAGCTTTTATTGTTCTTTACATCTGATAGGTTCTTGAATACAAGTGTCCTTGTTGCATCTAATAAATCTTTAATTTATTTTTGACTGCTAAACACATATATATTTGCAAAAAATTGTGTTAGTTTTTCTTTCTTCTTAATGTATTGATTCATTTAGGGACTGGATGGAGCTACTATCATTTACTGTTCTATATCTGGAATCCTACACGTTACCTATTTGAGGTTGATTAGGAAATGAATTATCACACACACTGTTTATGTTTAAGAATATGTTCAGGTATATAAAATACACATATAGTGTTGATAATAAGCCACATATATTTACTGGGAATCAGTTTTATAATCCAGGCAAGTGGACCACCGTATGCTTTTTGCACAACTTCTGGAAGTAATTCAAGGAATTGGAGAACAACTGTTATAAAGTTTGATAGGATCCACACATGCAGGCTTTTCAGGTTGTAAAACCACCTACATTTTAAGACTTTTCATTATTGTAATTATTATCCTTTTTAACTATCTCATATTTTTTCTCTTTATAAGAATAAAGTGAGAAGAGTCATATTTTATGGATCTGTTTGGATTTACTGCACTGCCTATTATACTTTATACTAAATTTGTTATGCCCATTTATGTTTTTGGATACAGACTCACAAAATGCATACAAGAATTGCTTATGTAAATGGTGAAAAATCCATTGTCAGTTTTTTGTCTTTTACTGCCACATTTAATGACGAGAAAAACTGTTGAAGACAAAAACTTGAAAATGTATGTAATTTTAGGCACATTTATGTTAAATCTGATTAAATAAAATTAGAGACATGAATCTATGAGCTTTATTTTCATCATGAGTACTTTATAGATTTAAGAACTAAATTAACACATACACACATACATGCTCTTCTACAGGACTACATCAGTATTTTTTACTAAATGATGCCCGCCATGCAATAAAATAAGATCAGCTTTTGTTAGAAATTAGCTTTTATAGTTAATACAGCAATTTGGCAAAAGTTTTTAGAGTGTAAAAATCTGACTTTTTACTTTTTTACTTTTTACATGAGTGCTGTAAATAGATTTGTTCAAATTGATTTATTTCCCTGTTTCTCAAGGCCACAGTGTTTCAGAACCTTGCTGAGGAAAACGGATGCAAGTGTGGAGTTTTCTGTTACTCTCACTTAAAGCAGAGGATTATAACAAACCAGTTGTTAAAGTTTGTTCAGTAGCTGCTGAGTAAATAGATCACCCTTAATGTTTGCCAAATTACATCTTATGGCTGTTATAAATTTCAGCTTCTAGTTTTTCCCTCTCTCGCCTCGTCTCAATTTAGAAAGAACTATAAATACTGTTTTAAATTTCCAAACTTTTACTGAACATTAAAGTCAACATTTGCAGCAGCTACAGTACTTTACAGTATAATACTATTTATTATATATATTTAATGCATGCACAAGTTACACACATGTCTCATTTAATTCCAGTTAACAGGAAGTTCATTTGATATCAGATTAAGAAATACTCTTTTGAACTTCTTCCACAGAAACACAAAGATGTTAAGCACAGTTACTCACGGATAAATTATGAATACACTTACAGTAGAAATTCTTAAATCCATCAAATTCACAACCCCTTCTGCAAAAAGTGAAAATGTATTCCCAAAAGCCACAAAATCATCAGATTTTTAATGGAAAGACCAAGAGACAGCCCTGACTCTGAGGCATTAAAAACGTGTTTTAGACTGCTAGCTTTGGGCTTCTTTGTTGGTGGATTTGCCCAGGCTCATGACTCAGTATTGCTCATCGTGTAGGAGATGATTCGCCCGCCATTTCTGAAAACTTTTTCTCTCGCTCTTTGTTCTTGCCTGTTTACTTCTATCTGCTGAACTAGTGTGTTTTCCCAGTGTTTTCTAATCTTTCTTGTGCAATCTCATATTCAACTTTTCATCCAGGTTATATATTTTTTAATTATTTAAGTTTCTGTGTGTATAGATGTTAGGAATTTGTGAAGTGGGGGATGGGAATAGGAGAGGCTTTGTTTCCCTCCAAAAGAAAATTCTAGCTTGATTTTTGATACCGTGTGTCCTAACCATTTTCTATTGTGTAATTTAAAGCGTGATCCATCTGTTAGACTTCCTGTCTGCTTTATGCCCATTCACATGTAGGATATCCATTACCTGGTATAAAGTTAATCATTACTAAAAGGTTTCCTTGTTGTAAACTCAATCATTTAACACAACCAGTTTTTTTCTCACCATAACATAGGTGTGTGTACGTGTATCTGCGTGTGTGTGGATCGGGGGGGGCGGAAATGACTAGCCTCCTTCAGAGAAAGTTATCAGCTATAAACTCAACCGTATGTGACATGACTGCCCACGCAAACCTGCCCTAAAATCTTTGATGTGTCTCTGAGCTTTGATGATGCCTCCCTAACATGAACAAAAGACGTACAAGTAGAACATGAGGAATGTTTTAAAACAATAGTTCAGAGGATGTAATTCACTGTGTATAGCCACAAAAGAGAATAAGTGAAGGTCTTTAGTATGTATTTGTTTAGTGATTAATCACTAACTCCAGCCTAGGGATGGGCCACTGATTCGCTATTCTAGGGCATTCTCTGCAGTCTCTCGCGTCTTTCTTTTTTTTTTTTTCTTCTTTGAGTGTGTGTGTGTGTGTGTGTGTGAGAGAGAGAGAGAGAGAGAGAGCAGGGGGGTAGTAGTATGCTTGTAGTTGGTGGCTAAATCTTGTAAAGGGTTTTCCTAATATGGGCCGTCTTACAGGAGCGCCTCCCTCTGTGGGCCATCCCCCCAGATCTCAGCCAGTGATGACACAGTTCGGGTACGACTCACTTCCTCATTAATTGGCTCAAACCAGTTCTTACAGGAACCACTCGTGATAAATGTGAGAGTTCTGAGAAGTCATTCATTTCTCCTCGCTGCAGCGGCAGAGGAGGCACTGCAGGGGAGTTGAACGAGTTCACCGATGTGTGTGTGTGAGAGGGAGAGGAAGCCGAGTATGTGTGTGAGAGAGAGGAGAGGAGAGGAGAGGAGAACAGAGCGGGAGAATGTGGGTGACTACTGCTGCCGCCGGCTGCTGTATGAGGACCAGCCAACTTTATTTCAGCTTTTTTCCCTTTTTTTAAAGAAAAATCTTTGTTCTGTTTTTTGTTTTGTTTTTGTGCAGCACTATTTTTCTATAGCTGTGGTACAGTCTGTACTTTTTTCTGTGTGTGTGTGTTTGTGGGGATGAGCAGTGAAGGGATTGCACTCGTTGCTCTCTCCGTGTTTCTCTCTTCTCGGAGAGAGGAAGCCGGGGAGACCGACACTGTACAGGACATAGGACAGCATGCCTCCCTTTGTTGCTGCCCTTGGGCTGGTGAGTAACAATGATGTGACGTGATTTGTGCCCCCCCCCCATCACCCCTCTTCCCCACATGCCCCCCCCCTTTTCTCTCTTCTTCTTTCCCTCCCTCTTTCCCTCCTTTTCCTCCCACCCCACCCCACCCCACCCCCCACCCCTCTCCCCGCTCTCTCTCTCCCTCTCTCTCTCTCTCTCTCTCTCTCTGTTGGTTGAGGCAGAGCTGTTCCACTGCTGGGTGCGGCACTGCAGAAGCCCTTCAGGGAGTACTTGGAGGCCCAGAAGGCCAAGCTGCACCATCACGCTGGAGAGGGGATCCCAACTGTAAGTACAGGGGCCTCAGCCCCCAGCTCACAGCCTCTATTCATTCACGTGTGCGCGCCAAGAAAAGAATGCGGCCCCCTTACTTTTGCCTCTTCCACTCCTTCTCCCTCCACTTTTTTTGTGTCCCTTTATTCTCTTTATCTAAGCCTTCCTTTATATCTCTGACCTATTTTCTTTCATCAACACAATTCATCCTGTTTTCACCCTCTTTACCTGTACTGTTCGCTTTCAAATAAAATTTCAATGTCAGTTTCATATATGTTTTTTAAACCTAATTTAATGTTCAGAAGAGAAATGTTGATGTTGTAGATTTTACTATAACCTGTAGTGATACAGTAGATTACAGAGGCTTGTTTAGGGCCAGAATGACAGAGTAGGTTAGCACTGCACTGGGCGGGCTGGAGAGGAGGGAGGAGAAAGAGGGGAGGAGGAGAGGGGCCAGTGTGGGGTCTGGCTCCACTCGCTGTATTGAACTGTACTACTGTAGCGCGGGGCGTGCTGACTCATGCTCCATCTTACCAATTGAGAGTGTGTGTGTGAGTGTGGTCACTCCCCTATGTGTCACACACACACTTGCACTCAGTGCCCCGCCTGAACCCAGCACTGACTGTAGACTGGGGCGGGGGCAGCCCCCCCCCCCCAGTGACAATCCATCAAAACCCCCCTGTCTAGAACAAAAAAGCCAGTTGTAGCTGTAGCCTATTTCTCTTTCAAAGCTTTTTTCCCTCCTCTCTAGTTCTCACTCCCTCTTTCTCTCTCTTGCTCTAAGTGATTCATTGAAAACGATTTTTCTTTTTTTATGCGCTTACTAGGAAGGAGAAGAAAAAAAGGATATGACTGAGTTGCACAAGGACAGATTAAGGCATTTCTAGAACAATGTTCCTTTTTTCTTGTAACTTGAGCCTCCTGCAGTTACAGGAGAGAAGCGAGGCAATTTAACTTGGTGGAGGCAGGCTGCAGGCTGGGGTCAGTGGGGGCGTTAGGAGGGAGGATGGTGGGGGCTGCCGCGTGTTTTATTACCCCTGATCGCTATCTGTCCTGCACATGGAGCTGGATCCCCACCTAGCCTACAGCATCAGGAGCAGAGGGGAGAGCAGGGTGTGGGGTGAAGGGGGGGTGAGGGAGGTGGCCCTCAAACTTACTGACCGAGCTCCTCTCCTCTCTCTCTGCTCTCTCTGTGGTTCCTGGCAGGAGGAGAGCTGGCTGTCGTGGCTCTTTGAGAAGGTTGTGGTCATCATGGTATGCTTCTTTGTCTGCTCCATTGTCAACTCCATGGCCCAGAGCTACGCCAAGCGCAAGCAGCAGGAGAAGTACTCGGAGGGCAAGACGGAGTGAAGGCCAGCTAGCGATCACGGCAAACCATCAACTTCCAAAGCTCCCACCACTCCTCTACTAATTTCTGCTCTCACTCCTGGCTGATGCCCCACCATTATCTGAAGCAAAATATCAGCCTCCATCTGGTTTCTCTTTTGTTATTGTAGCAACCTGTTTATGTTAAAACTCGGACTTCCATTTACTTGCTTTTGAAGGCTTTGCATTTGGTAGTGATTTCCGTGATTGTTCTCTGTAAGGTAGGTGCTTGTTGGGGTGCATGTAAGTAAGCTGTTGTGTTGTTAAGTGCCTGTGTTGGTGCTTTTAGCAGCTCCTAAGCACGTGAGAAGAAGCTGCTGGCAATAATTCTTCTCAGTTAGGCCTTAAGCTTCACTGTTTGTTCCACTAGAAGAACTTTAAAGTCTGAATGTCCATAGATGACCATAGAGTCACTTGAATTCAACTTACTTGAATAAGCTAGGATTGTTACTTTTGATTATGAGGTGTGTTCTGTAAAACCAGCGCACAGTAATTTGTTCAATAACCTGTTTATTTATTATCTATGTTTTCCAGATTATTAATAAGACATTCTGTATTTATGACTGTACTGTAGAGTTGCTGTGCAGTATTGGCTTCGGTAAATAAGACATGTACATTGTCTGTAAATAATTGTGTCCACTTAAGAGCCATCTCATTTCTACATATTGTAGAAGTCAGTCTTAGTAGAGATGTTAATGAATGTGTCATGCTGTTCATGGTGCTTTAGATGACCACTTCTTTTGTCTGTGCCGTAAAGCCCGTTTTGGTACTTTTGGATGAGAAATGATAAATCGGCCATGAATCACCCTGCTGGTCCCTTTGTCTGCCCTTATTGTTCTGCTTCCAGGAAGAGAGCACATGAGTCAGCCCGGGGCTACTTTACCAGATGCAGCCATATATTGAATCAGATCTACGGCTGTGTGTGAGACAGAGAGCGAGACGGAGATAGTAGGTTGCGCTAGCGTGGCTGCCACATTTGTTGCTCTCCCTTTTATCTTTTATGGATTAAAGCAGATTGTGCTCCACTAATAGGCTAGGAGTCTGCCTGGAAGTCTTAGTATAGCAGATAGCTGTTCCCTTTAACTTAGAGACAGTCTGTGTCATGGTAAGTGTTTTTCTTTGTCTTCACTTGTCCACAGAGCTTTTTTAAAAATCCTTTTTACCCCAGATGAGGACAGCAAGCTCATGTTGGACATTACATGATCAGCTCCTAAAACAAAACTCTGCATTTCATATGATCAGTGTTCATGTTTTGCCTTTTTTTGCTCATCGGATAACGTCAGCTGGCTCTCGACACATGCCGTACCTTCTTTTCTTTTTTTTTTTTCATAATTGCCAGTGAAATGTGCTATTTTCTTCTCCCTCTCTGTACCGCTGCTGTGCTACGCTGGACTGAGCACAGTGGGCGCTAGAGCAGGCACAAGCAGGAGGGAGAAAAAAAAACCCTCAAGCGCACAGTGAAAAGCGTCTGTGCCGTTACCTCAGCTGAACCTTCGAATGAACTCGTTGCACTGCCCCAGTCACGGAGCCAGGAGACGAATCACTCGAGTAGATTCAAAACAGAGGGGTACTGTTGAGCAGGCTGAACCCTGCGCTCTGCACCAGCTCTAGTCAGAACATTCACATCTCCTCTTTTCTCCTGTCATGGTAAGTCGGATTAGGATTCTTATTATTTTATTTTTTATTTTTTTTTATTTTTTCATTGTTGTCGTGTCCGTACATGCGTACGTCTCAGGCATGTCCGTCACTCTCTCGGCCTGTCAGATAGCTTATCAGACTGGTGTTGGCTGTTAAGATTGCAAGGCGACAACAGTCTGTAGGCTGTCTGACATTTCGGGCTCTTTCATCTGACCAGCATCCTGTTTTGTCCTCCTTCTGTTATTGTCATTGTCTCAGTTAGCATCAGTTCCCATTTAGAGGCGTGTGCTGCGATGTCACTTCTCTTTATCCCAACCGCTTGTGAAACGTCAGAGACATGGGTCTATTGTTTATTTCCTCCATGCTGACGTCTCTGAGGGTTTTTATGTGGTTTTATGTGGGGAACTGTGTTCTCGCATGTTTGCAAATGCAGATGTAGTGATGTCAATAGTATACTTCTGTACGTGTGTGTTGTGTGTGTGTGTGTGTGTGAGAGAGAGAGAGAGAGAGAGAGTTGGCCCTGTCCCCTTGAATTTCCAGAGAATCCTGATAGTACACACCTTATTGCAACACATCACATTGTGACATCCTGTCCTAGGTATGGTACACACAGTGCTCACCCAGCTCTCCCCTTCCCTTTTACACTTCCTTCTTCTCTTTTTAGTACTTTCTTCTGTTGCTCAATACACACTTTTTTGTAGGAGGCTGCATTTTATTGGAACAACTCTCTTGAGGGGGTGTTTTTCTAAGGGCCACAAATTGGTAATTATACAAAGCTGAAAATCATTGCTTGACCAGTGGATACTTTTGCCGCAAAGCCTCAGTTTTATTTTAGATTCTTCTTATTTTTTCTCTAGAACAGAGCAAAAGGGTAAAACTTTTTCCTGGTCATAAAAGCAAAATCATTGGATAACACTGGAATGGCTCGCTGGCGTGCAGAGTGTTTTTCTTGGCAGTTTCAGGATGTCCTGTTTCATAAGGGAGCCCCCTTTTGGCATGCCTGTCTGAATGTGTGTGTGCATGTTTGTCTAGAAATTCTGTTTATATTTCTATGTGTAACTGTCTGTATTTCTGGTTTAATAGGTGTCTGTACCTGGGTTATTTAAAATGTGTATGCACTGTTTTCTTTCCATCTGCTTTCACTATAAATAAAGTCTGCTGAAAAGAGGATTGGTGTTCTGTTCATTGTGTGATAAGTTTTGACCACACCAGGCCGGTGTTGACCCTCAGGCCTCCAAAGAATCTCACATGTCAGCCGAGAAAGAGGGACAAGGAGGATACCGAGTCCATCACAACTCCGATTTCCCCGTCTAATGTTTCACATCCAAACGCTTATCACATTACTGATTTGCTCCCTCCACACTGACATCATCTCGATTTCAGATTCCAGGTTAAGCCTTTGCTATGAGTTGTGAATTATAGCTACACTTATGCTCCTGTCGCTGTATTTAAATTCAACACTTTACTTGTATTAGTAAATATTAATGTCAAACGTTAGTTAAGTGTTTTATTGCAAAATTATTCTACTGAAAAAGCTACTTATACAAAATGTTTGCTATGACCTACATTTAGGTATAAAATCTGTTATAGCAGAATTATTACATTATTTGGACAAAAAACAATACATTAATCACAAATTCATGTCTCATTATACACTATATACAGTTCATATACATTTTATTATGGCATGATGGTTTTGATCTCAGATCAGTTCTGTGATTATGAAGTGAAAAAAAGAAAACAGGAGCCTGACATTGGTGTGTGCGAACACTGCGTGATCTTGTGTCCTGAGGTCAGACGTGTGACCTGTGCTGTGAGACCCCTGTCGAGAAAAGTCCCGTTCCCAGAGCAGCCACACCCTTAGCACCATGAAGATGACTATTTCCACCCACCTCACCCCACCCCACCCTGCCCCAGGGCTCTGGCTGAAAACCCAACATGCAAATCCTGCCTGTCCAAACAGGCTGGGGGACTGACATTCAAATAATGACACTGCTTTTGTCCTTCCTCTCTTTCTCCCTCTGATCTCTCCATATGCTCTACATATACTACAGTTGAATCCGGTGGCGCTGGTTTAATTTCTGGCACAGTGACCGTCCCACCCCCTCAACCCCCTGCGCACACCACCCCCTAACTGTCTCTCACTCCAGTCCCCCCCCTGTCAGCAGGCTAACCACTGAGGGATGCTGAAATATCACTGACTTCATCCACCACCCACCCACTCAAAGCCCACTCTGCATTTGGTTATCCACTTAGTTCCTTTCACACTCTGTCTCATTAAATTATGCTGACCGTGTGGATTTTTTTTTCCTTCCCTTTTTTTATTCAAAATCACATTACGGTCCTTTTGTTTTTGTAAGAAGCAGTCAGGAGGTCACATCGGACCACAGTGGAGTGAGCAGGCAGACTGAATGGTACAGAAAACGATGCTTACCAAAGTAAAGTTACAATTTATGGGTATGTCACCCAGAATTACACACTGTTTAAGAACGAGAGAAGATACAGTATCATGTAGTATCAAACTCGTGTAATGAGTTATCTTTACTGTAACTGTAGCTTCTATTGTAAAAGTACCCCTCCATTAAAAAATGTTTTTTGCTTCTGGTTAGTACTTACTCTGCACAGTATGTGTAGAGTTTGACATTAGAAGGCTGTTTTCACATTCATCTAAATCTGAATTGAATATGTGTGTACAAGCAGGATTATGTGACTAGATTGGAAGCCAATCACGGTCCAGTATGTAACTTAAACAAGTGTGACATGGAAACCTAAAACCTCTAGTGCACATACACTTCAGTGGAGTAGTAGTTAAGCTTTTGAAATAGATTCTGGACTTGTCAGTGAGAGAGAGGGAGTAGATGTAAATTGAAGGATGTTTAAATAGTTAATTAATTGTAGAAAAAACATATCAAACACAAATAATTATTTTACATCTAGAGTTTGTCTTTTAACATTAGATAAATCCTTATAATTCCAATTTGTTGGTAATTACTTGCCCTAATGATGGTCAGTGTCTTTTGATTTAGCATATAGAAGTCCTGAAAGACAAGAAAGAGATTCTCTTTCAGTTCTAAAGATACTTAATAAATTAATTAATTAAATAATATTGATGCTTAGTTTATGATAACTTTTTTTTACATATAAAGTTTCTAACAGGATTAAAAAATGCAAAAATAAGATTAAAGGAAGAATTTAAATGTATAAAGCAGAATAAAACAGTAAAACAATGAGGAGTGCACAAAAATAAAACTAACATAGTTGTGAATGTGAAAGCACATCACATGTACAATGTAACTTTTGTGTGCTTTACGTGTGTGCACATATCATAACTGTGGTTACTGCAAAGCCCCAGCTCCAAAAGCCTTTGTTTCCTTTATTGTGGCTTTGGCATGCCAAGATCAAACAAGCTTATCAGTGGCTTCATATTGTTCATAATTCACTCCATCTGAGTGGAGAGATATTATTGGTATCGTTTGAATTAGATCACTAGGTCGATTCATAAAGATTGAGTGTCTGACTTGTCAACAGGCACTTGGCTGGCCTCTTTTGTTGTGTGATTTACAATTATTTAAATACAATCCTTCAAACCATTACTATCTAATGATGTACCATTTCTCCGATTGAATTCGACGCAACAAAACACGTCTCCCTGTGCTGGGTTAAACTAAATTATGTGTGGGTATTTTAACAGAGCATAGTTAGGCAGGAGCATCTGCTGTTCCTGCCCACACATTGCCAACATGGCAGACAGCCTAATGGCTGATGCCAGGTGGCAATGCGAGGGCACCGTGACGAAACACACACATCCGCACTCACTGTAGTTCTTCCGCCTGCCTTCCTCTGAAGGAGTTAACAGTCCGATCCAGTCAAGTTGTGTGTTTGTTGTACTTTCAAAGACAGTTGAAGGATTCTATAACATAAATCAATGTGTAGTTGTGTTTAAGCTTCGTCTTGTTTTGTTTAAAAAATAGAAAAGGAAATATCAGTGACTAAACTTTTTATCCACCATTGTCCCAAACAAAGCACAGTTTCGTCCTGTGCTACGCTCACAAGTGGGCTGTATGACTTCTTTCATAGAAAATCTTTTCCTCTTTATGTGGCTACGTGTCATAACAAGACAGAGAGGAGTCTTAGACCTGCATAATGGCTCGTCATGCTTCTTCATTTCGCCTGCCTTTTATGTCCCAGGAGTTATGCCAAGGAAACTGCGTCATTCAGGTGTGTCATAAATACACAGGGGGACGTGACTGCTGTAGTAAATCTAGAAAACACAATAAAACAGCAGCATGCCTGAGAGAAGAATGAGTATTAAATTGTTTAAATGTACCCAATACTCCAACACACCCGTTTCATGTGAGAAGACGTCACTGAGTCAACCTGTGGAATGCTTGAAATCTGACAGTATGTACTCTCCTCCGCGGCAGACTTTATCCCCAGGCGCTAAATGCAGCTTAAGCTTTACATGTTAATGCAGGTTTCTGTGTCACGACATGATGCCATCTCAGAAATATTACTCAGGAATGCTTCACACTGCCTTCCAAGCATACCAATGCTGGGAATGTGTGGTCTACCCCCTTTTTTTTTTTTTTTTTTTACTGTGGATGCAAATAAGGCAACACTAGAATGAACTGGAAGAACTGCCTATAGATGCAAATTTGGACAAAGGTTTAAGTTTGTAGGTGTACTGGAAACATGTAGAGCAACTTGATTTATTGAAGGGTGGGGAAAATGCTCATGGCAATAGGAACTTTCCAGTTTCAGTTAAATAGCACCACAAATGTAATCATGCTGGTGCAGTCTAGAGGAAAAGTCAGGGGATCACCCAAGTCAGTAGGCTTCTTCCGCTGGGGACCATGGATATCTTTACCTAATGTTGTGGCAGTCCATTCAACAGTGGTTGGGACTGCTCACTAAAAACCACAACGTCAACCTCATGGAGGCATTAGAATAAAAATCAGGGGATGGCTAAAGTGAACAGGATTCCTGCCTTTGGGACCATGAATGTTTATACAAAATGTCAGGCCACTAGTGTGGCTAATAAAAGCAAGATTAATTTTGAACAGCCATGCTAGCAGGCCTGCAAGGCTCTCATGGCCATTAAACACTAGAAATCAACATTTCCACAAATGGGAGAAAATGTTTTGCCCGAGGGAAGCGTCAGAAGAAAAAAACATGTTATCATCTCTATTATGGTCATTGATATCTCATCTTTCATCCGTTTGAACTGTAGGCTACTTTGTTAGCTTCAGGTGTACAAATGCTATCATTACAGCTACTGTTAGCATGCACAGTTAGCATTTTAAAGTGCAAGTTAAAGTTTGACATTTTTGAGTAAGATGAGAAGATTGATACCACATATCATATCTGAGCACTAATTATGGTGCAAGACTCAGCTAGGAGGTGATTAGCTTAAGCATAAGCATAAAGACTAGAAGCAGGGGAAACAACTAGCCTGGCTTTGTCCAACATTCAAAAATGCATCTACCAACACCTCTAAAGCTCAGTAACACATAATCTCCTGATTTTTTTTATTATTTATTAACGTTATTAAAGTAGAAATGTAAAAACAAGCACACATTTAATTGTTTGTCTCCTGACACTGAGTATTGATCCAGTGCTCTTTTCCCAAATTTGAAAATGTGTACCACAATGTGTGGAACTTTTTTTTTTATGTAAGGTAACTTGAGACCAGGGTTTGCTGTGGCAGTAAAACATGACTGTAACTGATCACGGAAACGCTGGATTTTTATGATAACATTGGCAAAGAAACTGTATTTAATGTGGATCAGTGACGTCATTAGGTCAGTATCGGCATCAATACTGATCTGCTGTATCAGATCAGTGCCTTCCAGGCTGTGCAAGTCTGCCAAAAGCAAAGAAAACACAACTTCTTCTTAGATTCAACATTTTGCTCTGATGTTCAGGAAAATACAAACAGTAACAGTATATTCTGTGTCTACATACCAGCATCAAAAACATATGACATTACTATTACAAACTTAAGCTCTCAGCTTTTATGGCATTGCAATCAGAGCTAATTTTAGTCCTGTCCACATACTCTGCATGAGGCCTGTTTACCACATGCAGTGTGGTTGTATGCAGCGTGCCCATCAACGTGCTGCAAACAACCACAAAGAGCAAACAAAACCAGAAACATCCATGCCTGAC